TATTTAGTGATCTGTGATCACTTCTTTTCCAATTCATTTCTATGGGAGCCAGGGCTTTTTGGAGCCAGGACTAGCAGATGTAGTGATATTGCAGGTTTTTGACACTTCCGGATTGGCTTCATTTTTCGGAGCCGGTTGCTACGTCCATCTTTTATACAGTCTATGCTAAGGTCCAGATCTTAAATCATTGTTAATTATTGTTTTCCAGACTCTGTTTCAGGTCAATTTGTTGCTGCCTTCTAACGTAGCCACTGGTTTGTGGCAACGCCTTGTGTTCTGCTTGAGAGACATTTCTGAGACCACAAAGTGATGACAGACAGAGAGAGGAGCTGCATGTGACCTGAAGTAGTGCATTTAATTTATCAATAGTCCGTCATTAAAAACACTGGTACTGATAATCGGAAAAAAGCCAAATATTGGTCATGATAATCAGCCTGCCCCTATTTGAATCCCATAAAGTTGCCTCTCCGGTGGACACACTAACAGCAGCAGCCTCTACTTCATTACCTCAAACCATCAGTCAGCACGTTTGGCATTAAAACATCCTCAAATAAGCTTCCTGGACATATTCTCCTGTCAGAAAATCTGCTCCGACATCTGAGACGCTCCTGTATTCTAATAATCAGGACCAGTAATCTTGGGGCGAAAATGGAGGGTTTGATCATTTGATTAAAAAAGAGAGACTCGAGTATACTGGGGGCCATGAAGAGAAGGAGAGCTAATTAGAGCAGCGAGTCACCCCGATGGCCCATCGTCTCCTTTGTAATTTAGAGTCCAGACACATTCTGTGTGATAATGATGTCAGGTGAGAGAGAGAGCAAAGATAAATGTCACTCCGAGTCTTTCTTTCGGGTGAGTGACCATACAGTGTGAGGAGAAGCCCTTGTAATGTGTCCGATCATGTGCAGACGCCGTGATTAGGACAGAAATGCAGCTCGTATTGAATTCTTACTTTGTAGAGCATCGAACCATAAGCAATTCACTATATTTCAATGGAAGAAAACAACAGATCTATGCATGGATGTGTGTTTCGTACCCGACTGCGGCCTGGTGATGGCGCTCTCATACACAGGAATCCCTTCGCCCACGTTGTTGAAGGCCTTCAGCGTGATCACATAGTGCGAACTCGGGTCTGAGCGAGAGAGAGAGATGAAGATAAAAAGCAGAGGGGGACATGAGAGGAGAGAAGAGATGAATTGATGCAGCCATCTAATCAAGCCAAAACTCTCGAGACTCTCAACTCATAATTGCGATATTAGCAGAGAGAGTATTTGAATACAATCTCTCCTCTCACTGTGATTGTAATGAAGGCTTCAATTATGCCTATAGAGATATTTCTGCAACAGTTCCCTCCTCTGAATGTTTAAATCTCTGCATTTCCTGTGATTATTTTGAAACTCGCAACCCACTTCTAGACCCCCTTCCTGGTTCCTGCTTTGATTACCGCAGCAGGTCCATCAATTATGCCATTAATAAGAGCAGAGATTATTCAGCGTAAGTGACGAAGAAGGAGCAAAAAATACCTCTTACTATCTCGAGTTTTATTAAGAAACAATCTCGAAATTACCTCTGAATTAGTTTCTTAGAGGTTAAGGGGATGAAAAAAGGCACTCGAGCGAAATTAACGTTCGAGAAAAGAACATTTTAATGAGATGAAAGTTAATGCCGATGTTTCCTTTGGTTTAATGACAAGAAGTGCTAACATCACCAAAACCGGTTTGTTTTATTCAAATATTATGACCTTTAATTATTGTGTCCCCATTAGGCCAATCTGTGTAATTACCGGCTCAGGCTGCGGCGGAGGAGATCTCATTAATTTTCTAAATACTCACTGTGGGGTACAGATGAATTGCTTCACAGTCTTCGCATGTCTGTGCTCGTGTGTTTTAAACTTAGTGTATAAAGTGTCAAATCAGATACATCACAGTGAGATTTTTACCGTCTGAACACTAAAACCTGCCAGTGGGTTTAAAAGGCTTGTTGACTGTAAAAAGACTCGACAAACAAACCTCTGACATCCGCTACAAATAGGAGCTTATTTCGTCTGTCAGGATCACCTGCAGCTAAAGCTCACATGAAATATACAGTCGAGACATGTATCCGCGCACAGACAACTAGCACTGTCACTGTCTTACATGATTAGAGCAGCAAAACACACTTTGCTATGTTAGCGCTGTCCTTCACACGCTGCCTGTGAAATTAACATTTTTAGTCTGAGGTTGGCGTCAGCTCTGATATTAAGGGTTTTTGCATTTTCATCACATGTAGAGTGTAGAAGCAGCAGCTCTGTTCATTCAGGGTCTCCTCAAATGATAGAAAGTAATCAGACATGAAAGTTTATGTTCTCATCTGTGAAATCTGAAGATCTTGTTTAACCCTCTGAACCCCAAAACTGTGCATCTTTAAAAAAACAAAACAAAAATGGCCACAGTTTTTAGAGCCAGAAACTGTAGAAACAGAAAGAATTGTAGGATTTTCAACCTTCCGACGGTTCTTGAACTACTCATGGCTGATGTTCTGTCAGAAAATGTCATCAAAATCACTGATAATAAACTGTTTGCTCCAACTTAATTCTGTAAAAAATTAAAGAGTCTGTGTTCCTGATTGCAACTGTGAAGCCATGAGGGACAAAAATTTGGTTAACTTGCAGGTTGTGTTTAGAAAGCAGAGAGGGGACGAGTACGGAAATTAAAAATGAATAACTATACAGAGGCAGCATTTTCCCCAGTATTGGTAACACATTGGAGCACTTGGAAAAAATGCTGTTCATGTTGATTCCATGTTTTTTTTAAAACTTCACCAAATCTAACTTGAAATCATAATATTGCTCCAAATTCAGAAAACATTTGACGTCTTGTTTAAAAATCTGTCAAAAATAATCTGTTCACTCGAACCAGATTCTGTAAAAAAAAAAAAACAAATAACCCTGCACTCCTTTCCTTTACTGTGAAGCCACTAATGAAGACAAGAACAGAAACAACATGTACGCAGTAAAATATGCACATTGTGTAGAGTCACCATTTTCCCCAGTGTTAGTTAAACAAATCATCAGATGAATTCAACTTTCCTTTTTTTTTTCATCATTTATGGCATTATAACTCTATAACTGTGCACAGAAGACATCTCTGAGTTCTCTCTACTTCTAGTAATGGTTGTGCTGTTTCCATAGAGGTGCAGGACTTCATGCTGCAGTGAAAAATGAACCCACAGTGAATTAAAATGTGACATCAGTGAAAATCCTCCTCAAAGCTGCTTCAGAGGTGTTGACACAAATATGTATTTTAAAATGGTAACATTCACTGTAGGACAAAAACACAAGAGTCCCACATCTCATATCAATATCTGATCAGCAGTATTTGACAGATCTAAAGTATTTTTGTGGCCAACAAAAACACACACAATCAACACGTGAGTAAACTTGGAGCAGACCAAACAGAAGGAACCGGTGCAGAATGGTCTTACTGAGGTTCTCGATGGTGTAGTAGCGCTGCTTGTAGTCCACCTTGATGGTCTGAGCGTGGGGGCTGCCGATGCCGTAGCCGATGGAGTAACCTCGGACCACGATGTCCTGGTTCTCAGGCGGCGTCCAGCTCACCACGATGCTGTTGACCAGCGGCCGGACGTGCAGAGAGCTGGGCTGGTCCGGCACGCGGGATTCTGGGGAGGGAAACGGGGGGAAAACCTATTAAAAATCTGGTGACAAAACTACTCAGTGGCAAGATTTAGTTGACTCAGGTGTGTCTTACCGTCCAGGTCACTCTCAAACGTTTCCACTGTGATCCACTCGGTGGCCGGTCCGGTGCCGTTCACCGTCATGGCCGACACCCGGAAGGAGTACTCGGTTCCTCGCTCCAGAGCTGCACAGCAAACACGAGCAGAGCATTTAAACAGAGCCGAGGCTGAACTGAACTCTAAGCTGCAGTAAAAAAACAAAAAAAAACTCCTTCATTAAAACTTCTCCCACTTTCTCCGGCCTGATTTTATCTTACAATTTACCGGCGCTCTCCACTCAGCCGGTCAATTGGACTTTCTGGTGGCAGTAAATATTTTGAAAGCACAAATATTTTAAACAGATGCCCGATACTTCTCAGCACAGTTTAAGGAGAAAATCCATACGCCTGTCGAGGGAAGGATCAAGTGAATGTTGCTGAGGCGCAGTTAACTTTCTTCTCCACTCTAGTGATTGAGATTTACTTTTCACCTGTGCATAATAAACTCTGGTGGGTAGAAAAACATTTGCCATTTGGAAGAGTTAGAGTAAAACATTAAGGGGGCTTAAAAAAAATAAATAAAAAAAAATGTTGGAGTCCAGATTCATTCATATTTTAAAGCTCCTTCAGAAAGAGCTGTATCACCGCTGGGTGCCGGCTTTGGTATTCAGAGAAGAGGGGGAACGCCTGCTGACAAATGATGCGTTGCTGTATTAATTTGCTGTAAAATTTTTCATCATCGTCACATTGTCCCATTTGCACGCTACATGCAAATTTCGGTCGTCTTTTTCTCCGCGTAGCCACTATTCTGGGCCGCCCTTGGGGGGTATCTTCTGAAGACTGCCTAACCATCCGTGCCTGCGAGGCTACAACATCTCCTTCTAAACGCTTTTGAACCAACAAACACCCCTCTGTTTCACCCCCTAGAATGTTCCCCAAAATCAACTTTTAAGTGTATATTCTCTTTGATGCAGCGCGCAGCGTGAGGCCGGGCCACTTGAAAGTTGCTGAGACATCTAATAATAATCACCATTGCTCTGTCTCTCTGGTGATACTCTGCATATTCTGGTGGCGGCGGTGGGCAACGTCGGCGTACAGTAAGGCGCGCAGCTCCGTTTTTCTGAAGCGTTTAGACAGAAAATCCGATAAACAGACTGATTTCAAACAACAACTCAGTCACGTCTCGAGTCTCAAGATCAAGATTTTAAATATTGCAGCGTGTCAGACACGGCTGACAGTATCTGAGATGCATCCAGCAGAGATAAGATGGAGTCTGATAGCATGAAAGTTTTAACGCAGCACTGATCTGAAGCATCAAAAGGAGAACAAAAATCCTTATGTTCTCCAAGAACAAAAAACAAGAGTTCTCTGTGGATCCATCATTTTTTAAATTAGGATCAACAAGCGCATCAGAATCTATGTGTGTAAAAGAAGAGTTGGAGACCATCTATTGACTTTACAGCTGAGACAACAAGCAAAGAAAGACATTATTTTACTAGATACTTCAAACGAGTCATGATTTTAGTGGGAATAGTCATTTTAAAACCCTAAAAAAACCCCTAAAAATTATTGTAATTTTTTGCTGCAATTTGCACCGAACATGTTCTGGATGATATAACTTGTGTTTGCATCTGTGCAGCACCACAACGCTTCACTTATGATGGTTTGTTGTGACACATTTTATCAACCGACTGCAGCTCCCGTGTCTCGGATGTTGCACTTTAATTGCAATTTCAATAATATTTTGATTAATTGCTTAGCCCTAATTGACTTGAATACAATACTGCGGGTAACAAACTGTCTGTTTGAGTCAAGAGCTCAAATCAGTCACAGTGATGTCAGTGTTTTTATGGACGTATCCATCTTCTACATCCAGACACACCCTCCTCTAGTACAATGTAAGCAGCAGTTTCGACTCATCACGACTACGGTCTCTTGTTAATCTGACAGCATCCGAACATGTCGGCTCTGTGTCTGAATGAGGCTCACTTCTCTGTAACAGTCACGATGACAGTTGTCGTACGAACATTTCACTTTGAACGTTACAAAAGTCTGAACTGCGTTAGTAGTACGCAGACGATGCAATTTGAGCTGTTTGAAGGAAACATTGTAGCAGTTTACTGAACATCTGGATCCATACGAGCGTCTCCAAAGGCAGGATTTTTATGCAGCGAGCATTCATACACACAAAACAACAGCAGTATCCTCATCGTAGTTGTTCATATTTGTCAGGATCAAGTCACACTGTGAACTTCTCTTCAGTCACACACAGAGTCACGGTTTATCAGCTGTAGCTGGTGGATGTCGACTTTGTCCTGTGTGTATTTGTGCATTATAATCCATCAATAAACAAATATCCCCATCACCACCACCTTCCTGGCCATGTCTGAATGAAAGGAAGGTTAAAAGTGGTCGACTGTATGTCTGAACGATAGAATGACGTCGCTTTATCAGACAGATGAAGCAGTTTGTGGTAATAATTTCAAGAAAAACCTCAAGATGTACATGCTTTCCATGGCTTTTGGCTGCTCTTGATGGTCTTAATAGTTCAGATTTATGTGTATTTTAGAACTTGATCTTACAAGTTGCTATTGATTGAGTACTCTATACTATTTTACTCTGTTTGCTAATTGATTTTACAAGATTTATTCTCTATTATATGTTTATATTGTCTGTCTGCACATATTTCTCTTGCTGTCGATCTGTGAACACGTGCAGCACTTTGGTTTAGAAATAAATTAGATTTCATGTAACGTATCCCATATCTGAAAAGTGCATATGTTTCCCTGTTCAGCGCTTCATTACGCTTATATAATGGGCAAGAATTAAAACGCTCTCTTTCTCTCCACGTCTCTTCTCTGTTGCTTGTCTTTCTGCATTTGTCCACGCAGTGACAACATTTCTTTTCGTAGCTGTGGGCTGTATATAATTAAAGTGTTTTTCTGTTCTGTTTAGGAGGAATCAGGTTTGAAAATCCATCCATCAAACCAGCGTGTACTCACACAGAGGTGTGGGAGGCCTGTTTCCAGCCAGTACTGGGTGAGGGGACTCATTTCTAGAGTTTATCACAGAGAGTGGAAGTTTCTCCACAGATAAAACCAAATATAAGCAGGAAAAGAGAAATCTGAGATGATGACTGGAGATAGATTTGAAATGATAGTACAATAATTTCTCAGATGGATTTAGACTTCATTAATCGATCTGAATTGTTCAGCTACATATACGTATTAGATAAAGGACAGACTACTTTCAATCAAGTAAATGAATTTCTTCTGTCACCTCTGAACATGTCAACCTGCAGGATGGACTCTCTGTTGCCAGGGAGGCATGTTATCTTTTTAAGCACTGATCTGACAACTTAAAGGTCAAAAAGGTATCCGTGTTAAATGGGATAATTTGGTTGAAAAGTCATCTTTCCAAAATTTCTAATTGACTTTAGAAAACATAAAACAGAACAAATCCGCAGACTATTGCAGACAGTAGAAGACTACCCACAGATAAAACCAAATGTAAGCAGGAAAGGAGAAATTTGAGGTGCTGATTGGAGATAGATTTGAAATTCTAAGATTAATTATGGTAATTTCTCAGCTGGATCTCGACCTGATTATTAGATTTGACCTACACACATCCATGAACAAATGCACCACCTTCATGCAAACTTGCAGGAGATCATTGAAAAGTCTTATTATTACAGTCAAACCAGCTGCAGAGTTGTTGTTTTTTTTCTTTACCATCGATGAGCTTGTAAAGCTGGGTGCCTCCGATGGTATCAGCCGTCTCACTCCTCCTGGATCCTTTCCGGTATCGGATCTTGTAGCCGGTGATCTCCCCGTTCTGGCCGCTCAGGGGTGGAGGCTGCCACCGAAGCATGATGCTCTGAGGGGGAGAGAAAGACGACATAAAAAGTCTTGTTTGGCACCTGAAGAACCGTCTGTTCTTGGGCCTGCAGCTGTAAAGGTGACCTCACGGTTTAGCGGGTAGCATCGCACCTTGTCACACACCTTGGCAGAGGCCCGAGTGTTAACGTAGCTCTGCAGGTTCACCACTCAGCCCGCCAGAAACTCCGCCTCGCAAAAACAAACTCCCTTCCGAGCCCAAATTGACGCAATAGGTGGAAATAAACATGAATAATAGAAGGAGGCGCCCTGATGATAGAGATGTGTGTGTGTGTGTGTGTGTGTGTGTGGTCAAGTGAAGCCTGCGGAGATGAGATGAACGCAGGACTTTAGCTGCGCCGTGGTGGGATGTATGCGTGGCAGGAGGTCAGTGGGAGGCGGCTCAGCGTGGGAGAAGAGTTAATTAACGCTTCCCCGCCGTCACACCGACGCACAAAAGCCCCGAAAACATGTACAGGCCACAAGCGTGCTCCTCCCCAGCCGAGTCCGGGGAGACTGCACAAATTAAATCTGTGTGTTCAATTATTTTCATTTTTTTTCTTACACTATCGGCACACCGACTCGTTATGTCTGTTGCTTTTCTCCTCCTAATCATGAAAAAAACCCCATTTAATTGACTTCTGTAGAATCACAGGGGAAGGTGGGGAGGCAGATGCCAAAAGGAAAAGGGGCGAAGTGAGATCACAAAAACATGATTGTCAGATTGCCTTGCAGGTAAAAGATGTGAGGTTCTGCTCGACAAGACTCGAAGAGGAGACGGAATATGAAATGAATGTTAATTACTTTTTTTTTTCTCCACCCCCCTCAGTTCCATTCGGCGGAGTGTATTGAACAGCTAATTGCATAAATGCTTTGTATCTTTATATTTGTACCGGAATTATTGCCTTAATGACTGTTTACATTCAGAACTAAACACAATGACAACAAAGAGAGAAATTAGAAGAATAATTTCAATAGTGTTGAGGAATAAAGGACGCCAGATGTTGGTTTTAATTCGGTCGGTCTGAGTGCTGGGGGGGACAGCTGCATGTACACTATCCATTCAGAAGACAATTCCTGATTTCCACAGAGCGAGGCCTCTTTCATTTTACTCTTAAAATTAGCATGAGAGTTTTTTTTTTCTCCTCTCCACAAATCTCGGCTGAGTATCCCTCAGCATGGGTGGCCGGCTCTTACTCAAGCTGGGAGTGTGCGATAGGATTGTCTGTCAGTTTTTTCCCCTCACTTGGGCTCTGCATCGACCAGCAAAGAGCTATAAGTGCCGGCCGCCGTTTCTGTAGTCAATGCACGCACCCTGAGGTTTCTCCTATCTTCAGCTTTGCTTCTTCTTTTTTTTTTTTTCCTTTGCATTTGCTGTCTCACATGTCATAAGTGAGAAACATCTTCTGTAAAATTTAATCCATCGCCGGGTGGAAATATACAATAAATAGGCCTACAGCTCTGTGTTTGAAGATCAAATGGCTGCAGCGATAGGCAGTCGAGACACGTTTGCCGTTTTAATCAGGAGTTTGTTGTGAAGCCAGCAGCCACGGCGGCGGCCTTATCTAATCACAGGTGTCACGCAAGTATGTTTAACGAATAAATCGGATTTAACAATGAAACTTAAAGAGACACCAGGAGTTGTTGCCCGCGCTGTAAGAAATTTCATTCAGCTATCTCTGATCCAAAGAGAAATCCAATCTAGATAAAGGGGAGGCCACTTTCACACAATAAATGAATTTATTCTGTCACCTCTGAACATGTTAACCAGCAGGACGGCGGAGAATCTTTTAAAGCACTGGTTGGACAACTTGAAGGTCAAAAAGTATCCGTGATAATTGAGATACTTTGATTGAGACGTGATCTGTCCAGAATTTTTAGTATATTTTTAAAAAGTAAACAGAACAAGTGTTAAAACACAGCGAAAAATTAACCCTCCGAACCCCAAAAGCTGCTGTTAGGTTTGTTGTTTTTGTTGCCGAAATAACTCCATTTATCAGAGCAAGAAACTGTACAAACAGAAAGAACCATCAGATTTTCAACTTCATGACTAATCGCATGTAACTCTCTGTTTCGTTGGGAGAAGCAACCAAATCTGAGTTTAAAATCGCGATATTTCATTGATATCAGAAGAATTCTGCTTAAGTAATTAACATTTTTGCTAAAAAATATAACAACAAAATTCTGCAAATCTGTGAATCCAATGAATGACTCACCAGTAAGCAGCAGCCTCATAATGAGCTCGGCTGAACTGCAGGCAGTGTTTAGATAGAACAAAAATTTAAAATGTAAAATATTTATAGTATGGAGAGTTTTTTCAGAGTGTTGGTAAAACCTCTGGGCACTTAGAAAGATGTTTTATGTGTTGATTCCAGGTTTTTTAAGTTTTTGTAAAATAAATATTTAAAGAAATTCCACTTTTTTGGTTGTTTTTTAACCACTTAAGGCATTCTAACTGTTTCATACTCCACAGTGGATACTTGTTAGTTCTCTCTACTTCCACTCATGTTTGTGCCGTTTCCATAGAGGTGCAGGACTTCATATTGCAGTAAAAAATGAGCCCACGGTGAGTAAAAACGTAACAGGAGCAAAAACCAGAAACCGAATGAGGTTCGGAGGGTTAAAGGCCAAAACATATGTAGAGAGTAGACAGTGTGTTTGTGATAATCTGGCTGAAAAGTGATCCTGTTTCAATTTTAAATGAGTGTTTTAATGTGAAACAGAGCACATGTTGAAACACACTTGCACGTAACTTGACATCTACAAAAAAATTTCCCTTTTTGAAGCAGATTCAAGCTGATTTCCAGCATCTGCAGTTCTTCTGACCTGAAGCTGACTCCTACCTGAGAGCGCATTTAAGTCCCAGGCTAATATTTTTCTCTTCTCCATTTAGATTTGAGCTGCAGACGTCTATGCCAGGTTCTGTACAGATGGAGTGATATTGAGGATAAAACCTTCTGACAGGCGAGTCTCCTGCCGATGAGGAGATCGATGAGGGTTCACACACCCTCTTAACCAGCTGAGGCTTCAGGCTTCTGACGCAGCTAATCACAGCGAGCAGCAGCGGCGCTCCGGCCTGCAGGCTACGTATCTGTTTAACTGTTTCTGTGTGGATCTGGTGAAGCAACTGCACACACCAAACGCTCCAGCTACGGCTAGTTTAGGTGCTTTTATTGTTGTTGTGTGCAGCAGTTCTGCATTCGAGGAAGCTTGTGCAACAAATGTCAGAGCTTTTTAGTCTTCAGTGTCTGTGTTTTTATATAACAGTCAAGTATATTTACAAGAGAAAAATCCACAGAAGTCTTCAGGAATTGTTATCAGTTGGGAAAGATGGAATTACTCTTACATGTAAACTGGTTTTGAACATGTTTTATGCTGTCCGGAGACAAAAACAACAAAATATCAGTGCTAAATGTATCAGAGTTAAATGTTCGCTATTCAAAAAAGGTGTTTCCATCTCCAGTAAAGAGGATTAACTCTCAGCTTCTTCCAAAACGTCAAAACTTTTTTGCAATATTTGGTGAGTTTTTAAAACATTTTTAGCTGCTTTTATCAACTTTTTCTAACACGAATACTTCAAAATGCGAATATTAAGGAAACACTGTTTGTAAAGCAACAGAAGAATCCCAAACAGTCTCTGAACTGCAGCATCCTGTTCAGTCAACAAACTCACCTTTGAGTTCTGGACCTCCAGGGTCAGGTTCTGAGGCGGAGCGCTCGGTACTGCGAAGACAAAAACAGACAGAAATCTAAGTTACGGTAAAACTAAAACCTTTAGTTTCGATCAATGGAAACTTTTCCAGCTAGAAATGTCAAACATTCTTTTATTTCAGCTTCTAAATTCAACATATTTGCAGTTTTTCTTTGTGCCTTATGTCACAATAAACAGAGAATTTTAGGTTTTAAACTGATATCATTCTGTAGTGAGCTATGGAACATTGGTGGAACATTTAATGGACCAAATGATTGAGTGAACAAATAGTGACAAGAATCAGACATTGACTCTTCACATGACATTAACAGACATCTTTTAAACAGGATTATTTTTATCCTTTGGCACATTTCAAGTATTTTTTTTTACATTACATACTGTGTAACTTTGCACAGTCTCAGGCGATTAAGTTACACATTTCTGCACACTGGATGTATTTCTCTCACTATTTATGGCTTATAATCCCTTGATTACACTTGCTTCTTATTTTTCCTCTAACACTTTCTGTCTACTAATTTGAAACACTTTTTGAATCCAGATGTCAGTGATTTCTGTTACGCACTAAAACATAAAGTCACGTTTGGCTTAATTGACAGCAGTAATTAAGATTGTGACTAACAATGTGGCCATGCTGGATGTACGTTTCCAATATTCATTCCTAACATATTACACACAGTTAGTTGAAATGAAACATGTGTTTAGTTCTGAAAAGGAGTTTTGGTAAAATTGAAAAACTGACCATCAGACAGCGTGCGAACGGTGACGTCCTCAGTAGAAACTCCTGGACCGTGTTTGTTGTTGGCCACCACACGGAAACTGTACTCGGTGTTCTTCTTCAGCCCCGTCATGGTGTAGGACTGACCGTCAATGTCGACGTCCTGACAGAGAGAGACGTAAAGGGTCAGACAAGCTCTTAAAATCTAAAACAGCCCTGAAAATACAACTCGTGCATTAAAATATCTGTTTGAGAAAGCATGATGTTGATCATTTATCAGAACCAGAAACTGTAAAAACAGAAACAACTGATGGATTTTCAACTTTTCAGCATTTCTTGAACTATACATTCCATGGCTGTCAAAATAGAACCAAATCTAAGCTTTAAGGGAAAAAGATTCTACATGTCTCATTTAGAAATTTGTCAAAAATAAACTGCTTGCATGATCAAGATTATTTAAAAAACAAAAAATTCTGTGCTCCTCGGTGCAGAAGAGACGTCATTGTTGTCTCGGCTGAGATCAACAGTCACATGACAAAAATTCACTCAACTTTTTCCGGTGAGCTGGGTTGAACTGCAGGCAGTGTTTACACAAACCAAGGATGGAAGCAAATAAAACTTATAAATAGTTAAATATCTATAGTGTGTAGCGTCACCACTTTTTTTCAGTATTGTTAACACCTGTGGGTACATTTTGATTCAAGTTTTATTGTTAATTATTTAATTAAATTAAGAAATACAACAAAATAAATAAAACAAATAAAAAATAGTCAAATACGTTTAACTTCGCTTCTGTTTTTATCTTCTTCTTTTTTTTTTTTCTTTTTAATGATTTATGGCATTATAATTTGGCTACATTGCACAAAAAATATATTTGGGTTCTGCCCACTTCTAGCCGTGGCTGTTCTGTTTCCATAGAGGTACAGGACTTGATATTACAGTAAAGAATGAGCCCACAGTGAGTAAAAATGTGAGCCCTGAGCCAGAAACTGTCTGGAGTTCAGATGATTCACAAAGTCAAGATAAAAATTGATGGAAAAAAAGTAAATATTTTCTTTTTGCAATGATTACCTGCAGAAGAAGACGTTTACAGTACTTCACCACTGACAGCACGTTGATAAATGCTGCTTAAAGTGTAATTTTAGCATTAAAGTTTAATTCTGGCACAACTACGCAGTAAATGAGACGTTTCCAACGGCTATGAGCGACAAAACGTGACGCCTGCTTTCATCATTCCATCACACTAACATTTCTGTTTGTAATTTGGCGTAAAAATGTCATCTTCCGCCGAGACACAAATCATGTCGTGTGTGATTATGACTTTTTGGTTTACAAATTGGGCACGCTGGCACACACCCAATTACTTCAAGCTTATTTGCATTCAACTCTTTGCTCATGACATTTTGAGCAAAAAGAGAGAGAGAGGAAAAAAAAAAGGAGGAGACTTTGAGGAAATCAAATCTTCCACAGCGGTCCAATCACAACCTCTGAACCCGGGTCAGGTGACCACATCGCCCCCCGACGACGCATCACACGTTGCCCCCGACTTCCTCCTGCCCTTTCATATTTCAGCGCTGCGTCTTTCCAACTTCATCTCTCTCGTTAACCACCAACCTCTAGTTTTTTCTTATTTTTTTATTCTTTCTTTCTTTTCACTCCTTTTCTTCATCTCCTGCCTTTTTCACCTCATCTCTGGCTCTGTTCTCCGGGGAGCTGAGGCATCATTACTCAGTGCAGCGGCTGACGTTTCATCCATTATCATATTAAAGGCTTTTTAATGCCTCACTGGCTCGCACACTTCTACTGCTGGGGTTGACTCAATATCTAAGCAGCTAGATTCCACTCCTGCGACAGAATTAGTCCTGCTGAGGAGAACTGACTGGATCATATCTGCTTTCTTTTGGCACAATGTTTTTGTGAGACGATTAATCAAGAATGTGGCCCAAAAAAAAGAAGAGAGAAGCATCACAAAAAGTCTTGGCAAATGATTAGGAATCCCTTACCTAATCACAATTTACATTAGAAAGTGTGCCGTCATATTCGTTCTGTCTAATGAGGCCTGCAAAATCAGGCGTCAGCTACATGCAGCACTTGTGGTGAAGTGAGACAACATCACGAGCTGCATGTTTCTGCTTCACCCTGTAACGCCAAGTGTATCACATTTGACATGTGAGTTTTTGAGACCTCGACATCATCAGTGTGGTGTTTTTTTGTCATGAAAAACTTGATGTACACAATCAGATGCTTGTAGTGCACCGATAATCCACCATAGATCCTAATTCATGCACCAAAAGTGCCAGATGTAGCAAAAATGATACAAATTAAAACTCATATATGCAAATTGATATTTAATTTTTTAAGTAGTCAGAAGGTTCAATAAACACTCCAGTTAAAAAAAAAAACTTGAATTTTCTGACAATTATTTCATTTGTTCAAGCTTTCAAGCAGAGTTTAATTTATTTTAGGTGAGTTAAAATATACAAGAAAATACTGTAAACAAGAATGTTTGATGGCTGTGTCCGTCTTAACTTTTGGTATTTTAAGATTTCCCCTGATTTATTTGTTAACTCCATTTCTCTGGACAGTTTGATTTGATTTTCATCCAAGTTAATGTATTCACTCCAAGTTTTTTATTTTATTTTTTAATTAGCTTTTAAATCTGTTGCACTTTGTGGGGGAAATTGCTTTTTCTTTCTTTAAATACCTGAAAATGTTTTATATTTCTCCTAACTATTAGTTTTCAATTCTATCCAAGTTAATGTGTATTTACTTCAATTTTTTCTTTTTTGTTTATTTTTTTAATGAATTAATTGAATCAACCGACAACTATTAAAGAAGCAAAAAAAGAAAAGCAGAGTCAAATTTACATAACGGGAAATAAAACATACAAGAAAAAACTCTAAAACAAGAATGTGTGATCGCCAGGTCCGTATGAACAAATGCAACACTAAAAATGCACATGATGGAAAAAAAAACTCCATTTCCATGCACAACAGAACTAAAAATGCATCAAAGTCAATGAACTAACTGTAAGCAACACCAAAAACCGTAACACGTAGGGACGGCAAATGATTTTTATTACGTAAAACACAAAAAAATCACTCATATTTCTTTTAACTAGGAAGTTGCAACTCCACCCAGAGAAAAGTGAAAGAAAGACAAAAAAGTAGGAGAGAAGGACATGTGGAAAAAAGCAATGACCGCAATCCGAACCCATGAACGAAAAAAAAAAAAAGCAGCCCTAAACATGACACACCAGCAAAACCAGGAGAGCTATACCACCGCCCCAAAACTCACACGCGTTCCCGCAATCCTGATGAACAAATGCACCACGAAAAAGAAAAACAAAAGAAAAAAAAAAAAAAAAAAAACTCCCTACAGAACAAAAAAATATTTAAAATGCTCTTAACCATTTGTTTTCAGCACCATCCAGCTTAACGTGTATTTACGTCAAGTTTTTTTTTTTTATTATTATTTAGTTCATAAATCTGTTGCTCTTTATGAAGCACTTTGCAACTAAAGATGCAGACTGTCAAAGGAAAACGCCCCGTTTCATTCGTTACATACCTGGAAGCCTTCTGTATCGTATCTAAAGGCATGAGTGTTCACAGTTCAGCAGACTCCATCCTACCTGTTCGTTGCCGACGCTTTTGTCCGTGTAGTACAGTTTGTAGGTGAGGATTTCTCCGTTGCCAGTGAGCGGTTTGTCCCAGCTCAGAGAAACGGCGGTCGGTGAGTTGGACACTGCCTGCAGGTTGGGAGCCGGGCCGGGCACTTGGACTGGAGAAAAAATACAACATAAGTTCGACAATTTTGTTGAGTCATGTTGAAGCTTCTCCACTTTCACACATTTCGTTGCATCTGGAGCTCAGTTTAGCAGTGAGTGGAGCCGTGACCACCAGGCGGCTCTGTTGATACTGGACCGTCCCCTCCAGACTGGGCTGCCGGCCATGTTGGTTTTCTTGCTATTCCCATGACAAACCCACTGAAGGTGCGCCTCAACAAAAGCATCAATGTGCAGCGTTTGCCTCCAGCTTGTGTGTCGCAGCCAGTTCTTTGTACTGCACCTGGTCAGTCGAGACTGAGTGCATTTATTGTCGGTTTATTGGCTTTACGCTGTGTTGTTATACTGTGTTCATTTTGTACTGAAGATTAACCTTAACCCTCTGAATCCATTGCAGTTCCTGGGTGGTTCTTTTTTCATTTTTTGCTGCTGTTACATTTTTACTCACTGTGGGATCATTTTTCACTGCAATATAAAGTCCTGCACCTCAGTGGAAACAGAACAACCATGACTAGAAGGAGAGGGAACTCAAACATGTCTACTGTGCAGGAGAAAAAAAGTGATAATAACAAAAAACTGTTCCACATACTATACTTACTGAACTGTCTACATTTTTACAAACTTGTTTTTTTCACACTACTCTGCACATCGGCTATAGAATGATGCTTCACTGTGCTGAATATATCTTCCGACAACTTGCTACTTTCTATACTGTTTTCAAGTCATGCATTTTCCTCTTAGTTTCTCTATTTTGTTTCTATACGCTCTTTCCTGCCTACAGTTCAGCCGAATACTCCCTAAATTTTTGTTGACTGAGTTAGTTTTGGTATCTTGGTTGCACTGAGAATGGTATTTTTGTTATCAGTTTTTTACAGGAGGTTTTTAGCTACATATTTATTTGTTTCTGTTCTTGTCTCCTAACTAGTCTGTGCAAACACAGCCTGCAGTTCAGCTGAAATGTCCCTCAATCTTTGTCCTAAGACTGTTGGTTGCAGCCGAGTTACCAACGGCTTCATGGTTGCGTGGATGACTGCAGAATTTTTGCTCTTATACACAATCTAATTAGTGAGAGCAGTTTATTTTTTGGCAAATGTTTAAATGACACATATAGGACAACTAAATGAAATATCAAGCTTAGTTTTGGTGGTTTGTGACGTAGCAGGATATTGCAGATGAGTGTCGGAGAGTTAAAAATCTGACAATTGATTCTGTTTTTCCAGTTTCTGTCTCTGATAAATGAAGCAATTCTGGCATTTTGTTTTGCCTTTAACACCCAGCAGCGAGTTTTGGGGTTTAGAGGGTTAAATAAGATGTGAAAGCTGACAAAACTTAACAAATGAGACCATAAACATACTGCAAACATGTCTGATCGCTTTCTACTCCATGAGATTGGGAGACTTTTGGATAAACAGAGCTGCTGTTTCTACACTCTTCATGTGAAATAACAGTGAAAACCTCTAAAAATCAGAGCTGACACCAGCCTCAAACTAAATATTTAATTTCGTATGCGACCTGTGACAGACGGCACCAACATTTAAAGTAATAATCTGCGAGCGCGCTACATACAGAATGCTCTAATTTTATGGACGGTGACATTGCCAGTTGTCTGACACAGATAAACGTCTGCACCATATACATCTTGTAAGCTTTAGCTGCAGGTGTCCCTGACAGACGAAATAAGCTCCCATTTGTCAGCCGACGTCAGAGGTGTGTGTGCAGGTACAGGTGCATTAAGCCAGTCTCTGAGGATGCAGGGCAGCGCTGTGTGCACACGCCTGGCACTCGGATGCAGGTCAACAGTTTAAGCTCCAACCCGTAGCATGCTCCTACACTAAAGGTGCACACACGACGACAGAGATGGACTGCACAGGTACAGGCCGCCCTCGCCGCTTTCCCCCCCTGTGGGTGGCTGGGCTCCTGCTGGCAGACATTAAGGTGTAACGTGTGTGTGCTTTTTCTTTGTGTGTTGATCTGTCCGCCCTCCAACCAAGGACACAGGTAGAGGAAAAAAAAAACAGCGGCTGACCTACAAAGCGACAGTGACTGAGCAGCAGGAAGAGAGGGATGTCCACCGTCTCACAGGGAAATCCCCTTCACAGCACTTTCGAATATGAAGCCGAGTGATTCGGAGGCTTACAAAAAAACCCAAACACAAAGGGAAGGAGAGCCACTTTGTCCCCTCTTATGTGTCCTCCAGTCAAAACATGCTAATGAGCTTCTTCTGTAGCACCTCTGTGCGGGCCGGCGCTGGAATCTGGAATACTAATTTCAGACATTCCTCGCTCGCTTTTACTCGGCTGGCACGGTTTAAAGCAAAGCACACTGAGGGCTTATAGTAAATGTTGGGGAGTAAACAAGAAGTGGCTTATAAGAAGAAGAAAACGTTCCTCTGGTGTGCTGTTGGGTGGTCTCCCTTAATGCACATCACCAAACAGCCTCCCTGTGTGCGCGGAGGGGCGACGGGGTGCCTCTGTTTGAAGCGAGCGTATGCCGTACGTGAGGGAATATTTGTTTGCATGAATGTTTATTTGTGTGCTGCTTTAGAGTGCATCCTGTTTGCCTCAGTGTGCCAGCGCGAGCGTGTTTCCAACAAGCCGGCTGGAGTTTCGCCTTTATGTTTATGCTCCCTGTTTACTGAGCACACATAAATGAGCGCTTGTGTGCGTGCGTTACCTTCAGCCTGGGTGGCCACTTTGAGCGCTGCGGAGCTCTCGCCCGGCCCGTTGCTGTTGTGGGCCACGACCCTGAAGCGATATTTGGTGTCTGGCATCAGGTTCTGGATGGTGACCTGCATCTCGCCTGGACGGCTGGTGTTCACCACTCGCTCCCTGGTGTGGACGCACAGAGACAAGTGCAGAACATTTAACGATTTCACTGTGTTCTATTTGCCAAAAAGGCTTGTAAGAATCAAATGAAATGAATGTTTTGAGTGCTTTAATTGTTGGTTACCTAAAGTCCCTCGCTGCTTGTTGACTAAACACATAAAAACTCATCTCTGTGTATCAAAGCTTCATATTTAGAGGCTTATTTCCATGAAAATAATCCCTTCCTGGATTGAAATGGCTTAAATGGAACTCTTTACACTGTTGCTTTCTCTAGAATACGCACATCTCTCTACGCTAGTGGCAGCTCGAGCACACCAGCTCACCTGTAACTCTGCCTAAACACTGCAAACGATTCTGTTTAATGTAAAATTGTAATGTTGGAGCCATTCTGCCATACATGTTTGAACCAGAAACTGATGATGAAGAAGAATAATGACACAAAAAGCCCAACCCAGTGAGTTAACAGGATTGGCTCATTAGGTTTGTTACATATAAAACCCTGGAAGTCTGATTCTGACTGTTTTTGTGGTTTAATTCTGCTTATTTTGCTCATGATGTGTCTTCCAGAATATAAAAACACTACATGGATGTGCTAACAGTTGAAAAACTTGATATCGACTAGAGGGGGGTCTATATTGAACCCTTGAAATGGCAGAAAGTTAAATTATACCTACATGTCCGGACTTTTGAAGGCCGTTTAAAGAGACACCTGTGCATGAGTGTGAGCTACATTACTTTCATTACTGAAAAAAATGTTCAGGTTAACATCTTTAAATTTCGTGTTTGGTCCATCCAACTTGTAAAAACCCAGAAACTCAGTGATTTCAAACAGAAAACCAGCAAAACCTCACATTTGCAGAGCTGGAACCTGTAAATGTTTGCCATTTTTACCTGATCAATGCCTCAAATGACTAATTTTCTAGTCGATAAACCTACCAGTCAATCAATTAATTGACTAGTCATGGGCATATTGGCTCATTTGTCTCCATCTGGACCAGGAGAGGTGGTTTCAGACCAAGTATCGACCGTGTTCATTTAATATTACTACACACGTTAGTTTTTGCTGATGCGATACGATAATATTTGCAGTTGCATCCCTGCTTCCAGTCAAAGCACCACTGTGTCAGGACGATTCTTCAAATTGCTTAAAGCTACTTTTACAGTGAAAACATGAAAAGGAGGGTTTGTGGAAAATCCTCTCAGCGTCTTAAATTTCCTCCTCAGTTGAATACAGTAAATCCTTAACGCATGAAGCTGCGAGGAATTTATCACAGGGCTCCTTGGAAAAATAAAAGTCTAGCTTTTGAACTGATTTTTTTTGTTTACACTAAAAGGTAATCCTCTGAGGAGGGGAAGTTTAAAAAAAAAAATTAATTAACACTTAATGTTACGATAAGTGCTTTTAATGAGATATTCTGGCCTGAGAAATACATGTGTATTAGTACCCAGCAAGAATGTGTGTGTTAGGACGTAATGCTGAGGCTTCATATGTTTTTACCCATCAAGTCATACCTGTACACATCCAGATGTAAACTCATTATGTCATATATGTACACATCCAGATGTAAAGTCATTATGTCGTATATGTACACATCCAGATGTAAAGTCATTATGTAACATGTAAATATCACCAGTGATGGATCAATAAATGTTATCTTATTTTGTTGAATCATATCTTATCTTTTTATTGTATCTCATTTTATATTGTTATAGCTTATTTTATTTATCATATCTTATCTTATTTTTTTGTGTCTTATCTTCTTGTTTATCGTATTTTCTTGTATCTTATCTTACTTATCGTATCCTTTTTTATTGTATCCTATCTTATTTATCGTACCTTATTTTATCGCATCTTATTGTATCTTTTTTTTATTGTAATGTATCTTATCCTATTATATCGTATCTTATCTTCTTTTATTATATATTATGTTATAGTATCTTATCTTATTTTATCATTTCTTATCCTATTTTATCATATCTTATTTTATCGGATCTTATCGTTTCTTATTTTATTGTATTGTATCTTATTTTATCGTAACTTATGTTATCTTTCGTAACCTATTTTATCGAATCTTATCTCATCATATCACATCTTATAATATTTAATCTTGTCATATCCTGTTTTATTGTATCTTAACATACATCATCTTATTTTCTCGAATTGTATCTCATCTTATGGTATCTTATTGTATTGTAGCATGTCGTACCTTATCTTATTTATTGTATCTTATTTTATCATAACTTATGTTATCTTTTTTATCTTATTGTATCATAGCATGTTGTATCTTATTCTATCGTATCTTTTACCTGCTGGTACCCTCCTGGCTGTAGAAGACAGAGTAGGTCAACTCGTCTCCGTGCGGTTCGGCCGGTTGTCGCCAGGTGAGCTTGATGAAGCGGGTGGAGACCAGCGAAGCCACGACGTCTCTGGGGGCGGAGGGGGTGGGACCTGCTGGGCCGGCTACACCTCCGGAGCCTGGCGTTACATGGTCAGTAGTGTTAGGAGTCAGTGAGGGGGGAGGGAAGGAGGGCAGGGCTACGTCTTTGGGTTGGGAGGAGGAGGAGGAGGAGGAGGAGGAGGAGGAAGTGGGGAGGGATGGGAGGAAGGGATGGGAGGGGAGGAAATATCGCGCAGGGGGAGGGAGGTGTCCGAAAAGGAACAGGAGTTGAAATGGAAATGACAGTGGAACGAAAGAAAGGAAAGGGAAACAAAAAAAAGAAGAAAAAACAAAATAACAACAACATAACAAAAAAAGACTCTCGGTGTGACAAGGAACCACAGAAATAAAACACTTCTACTACACTCACGAAGCTGACAAATAAAAGCACGATACAAAGGGGGACTACACATGCAGATCTACACACAGCTGTCTAATGTCGGGGGGGAGTGGGAGCAGAAACAGAGCGTCAGACATTTCATCCACCGCCAATCATTTGGGGTTAAAAAATGATTGGTTTTGCATTTTAACCACTAAAAACTGGACCAGCATTCAACAGCAAAAACAGAGGCAGGCTTGGTTTAAGGGACAAAGTCACCTTGTGGTCGCTTAAACACACACACACACACAAAACACAATCTAGTTTTTTATTTCAGACAGTAAAACAACTCGAGACGAACCAAACACCCCCGAGAAATGATTCTAAGGTCTATATTCTCCCCACTAACGCGTTGGATGATGTTGTTTAAACGCTTTTTGCCGTCACATTCCACAGCCCGGCCACAGAAATGTTTGTGATTTCATTTGGTGTTTTTTTTTTCTTTTTTCTTTTTTGGAGGAACAATCTGCGGTCACACTTAGCAAGATCTGCTTTCCATTTGCTTGGCAAGTGGGCGAAACAAAACCATACGGAAAGAATGTCAGTCTGTATGACATTTCCATTTGTTTTCAGGTCAGGGAAACTGACTGCAGGGCAAAGCTGAGACGCAGAAAAAGGAGCACGGCGAGTGCGGTGTTCAAACTGTGTGTTATTAATGGGGAAATAGTGATGAAATGGAAAGCAGCCGCTGGCATATTTGTCTGTCATAGCGTGTGGGCTAACTGCTAATTTGGCTTTCAGGATTTGATATATCTCAAAGTCTCAAAGTTCACCGACTTCTGTGATTATATAAAAGATTTTCTGTTTTCACCGTCCACGCACTTTCTGTACATAAACACATTTCGATGCACGCAGAACCATGAAGTTGGAGCTTCGGCAGCACATTTAGGGCGGCGTGGCTTCATGTGGTCGGTGTGTTTGTACACCGAGTGAAGCTCAGCACATTTTTTTGTTGTATTGGCACCTTGGAAGTCAAATAAAACAGCGATTGAGGTAAAACTGCAGCTCCGTTTCAAGTTGTTTGCATGCGGCAGCACCTGTTTCGACACTTGGACGCAAAGATGAAATAAAGTTTGTAGAGGCTGTGCAGGGTTTGTACTCCAGAGTTCCACTTTTTTTTGCACATCTCACCTTCGGTTTGGCCTGCAAAGTCAGATTTTGTTCAGGTGAGTGACGAGAACAGTCCAGATTATTCTCCTGGCTTGTCTTTGGAGTCTTCACCAAATGCTAAAGCCGGAGGTGAGCATTAAGCCTCGCAGCCAGCGTTTCATTTCAAATCCAGTTGGCTGGAAAAGAGCCAACGACGATGAAAAACACATTATCATTCTAATACTTTCTGACTGCAGTGTAAATTACCAGATGCTGAATAATTATCCTCATTTATAAGGCAATGCACACACACACACACACAAAGACACACATACACAGCAGGAGGAAGCCCAACCTAACTAGAAGCAGGTTCAGGAGGTAAACAAAAGCTCGGAGCCTGTTTGATGATGAGGAGGCACTTCCTGGATTACCAAAGCACGAACACAGAGGAGATCAAAAACACAGTGGGCTCCGTGTAGTGAGAATTTACATCAAATACTGTCATATATGAGTATATACCAAAGAAAATTCATCAATAGAATATAAACATTAGCCCGTTTGGCTTGTTTAAACTGGGTCTCTACTGCCGGGGTCAGAATACAGCAGTTTAGGCTGATTTAAACATCTTCTGACAGTCAGAGGATAAATCTGATCTGGGATTTTGTCTGGACTGATGTTGGGTACAGATTATTTAGTAATGTGAGTTTACAGATCGAGTTTGAAACCTCCTGAACTGCTCTCAGACTCATCAAGGCCCCAAGAACATCAAACATTGATATCTACAAGTTAAAGTCTGGATTTGCTACACAATGCTAACATCCCAGCTAATGTTAGCTACAGATATTAAACTGGTTCTCACCCCAAGTTCTCTTGTTCAACCTAATGCTTTTATATTTTCTCACTGTAAAGTATTACCGGAGTTATAGCAACTTGCTGCACCACAATCTCCATTTTGTTTACATCTGTTTCCTCGTGAGATCAGAGCTCTGCAAAGTGAAGTTAACTTCAGATTAAAGCTGCTCTAGAGGTGCTTATAACACATCATTGCTCTATCTCCAACAGTCTTTGAGAGGAGGTTTTAGAGCTGCAGTTTCAGTCACAGGTCTTTGTACATCGATAATATCAATATAATCCTAGAACTGAGATCGATGAAGCACGAAGGCCGTGTACATCTTGACTTTGTAAGATTAACAGCAAGCTGACTTATCGGTTTAAATGTTTTTATGGTGGCTTTTCACTTGCTCCTAGATACGTTTATCAGAACCAAGCAGGTGAAAGAAAAACACTAAAGCTGTCTTAGACCCTCTACGAATAAGCCACTGAATGTGAGATTACTGAATGTTTCCTCTTTTTCCGACCTCCACGAAAACAGTTTCCGTTTTTATAATTTTCTCTAAATAATTTGTCGTTTTTGTGAGCAGCAGGAAGGGGCTACATCTGTAATCTCATTATATAATCACGTGTTGCATAATTTAACCGAATGTTGTACAAAAAAACCTGTAACCAAAAACTTAAACATGATTTAAATGTGACTCAGATTGTGTCTTACATGAAGCCGTGATATTAATAAGTCTATTAACTCTGGTTCACACAGTCTGTAGTTTTTTTTAAACCAGCTTTCCCTCCTGGTTTTGGCTGCAGCAGCTTTAGTTGTAAAATCCTCATATTGTTTATCTTGTGCGAAACATGGAGCCCTAAACTTGTCCATGTTTGGTCATCTAGAGCCAAACCTGCCCCTTTAATGTGAACACGCTCATAGCTGGATTCAGAACCACTGGATTGACTTATTAAGCTGGTATGCAGCTTAAAGTTAAGTTTAATTTAACCAGATAACAGAAAGATATCCTGGATATGTTGAACTTGCTTAATAGTCCAGGCCTCAGGTGATTCATATCCTGCAGTGTGTGATGTGCCATTATTTACAGATCTTGAAGTTTGTGCATGTCTGAGATTAGACAGAACAACACCAGTGAAATTTCTCCCCCTTACTCTCACCTACTATTGTAGTCTGTGCAAGGCTTCAGAAAACTAGACAAACTGACAGAACTGATTGAATGAATTGTTGTCGATGTGTTTCAACATATTCATTAGTCTGATCGGCATCAGCACAATCCAGATGAACGATAAAAGATGAAGATAAAATCTGCAGGAAATCACTATTTCCGCTCTAACATTCAGGCTACATAAAGGAGCTACAGGCAAAGACTCTATGAGTCTGTGGAACAATTTTGAATTCTTGATGTTAAATAATGAAATTAACATTTTAGAAATTTAGCATACATGTAAATTGTGCCAAATCTTTAGTTAGAAAGTATTAAAGGGTACAGAAAGGTTGGAAAGCAGAAAACTTAAGTAAGAACAACCTCAAGCTGCACACAAAACACGACATATCACCATTAGTCTAACATACAGAAGGCTTTACCTTTTCTTCTAAATTTCAGATTTCCTTTTCTCCAATTACTTCTAAACCACAAAGTAGGACAGGATCCCGTCTGTGCAAAATTTGTTCCATATTATGTCAGTTTTGCATCATGTGGAGTCGAGCCACCGCTTGTTGATTCAGACAGAAAAATGAGGCACAATGAAGGGACTCAGACGTGTATGTCCAGACGTATTTATAAAGAAAACTCAACCTTATCGCTGGCTTTGTTTTTGCAGACACACTATATCGCAGCATAGGAATATTCCAGAGCTGAGAGGGGAAAAAAAAAAGCAGATAAAGCTCCAGTGCTGCCGAAAAGATGAAGGTTTTTAGAGGTCAGGGGCGATTTGTTAGAAAACGACACCGGAAACAGGTCGCTCTGCCTTTGCACTTTGCTCAGTGTCATAATTCTTTGAGTAAATTTGTCCATCAGCCCTCAGAACAAAGGAAGCGAGATACGAGGCGCGATGTCTCTTATCTCTGCTGCAAATATAATATGGAGCACCAGGCTTCAGTAAAAATAACCCTGAGATCAGAGGGAGGTCAGAGAAAGAGGTGACCAGCATCGCAATAAAATCATTACAAGCAGTTTCCATCTTCATACACCTTGTCAGCTGCAGGTAATTGACATGCCGGGCAGTTTTCAGTGTCCTTCTGACAATCTGTCTTGTACACGCGTGCCTTGGATTGTTACAGTAAGGAAGTGTCAGCCTCCCACCGCTGCCGCCGAGCTCTATTCATAGCTGATTAATAGTGTCATTAGTCTCTGTGCCAGAGGTAATGAATTACTGGCATTAAGGCTTAACGAGGAAGGTTACTCTACATCTGCATAATAAATCTGGGTAACCCGTACACAAAACAGCCGGGACAAAGACGTGCACGGCGCAGCATTCGTCTTAATATCCAACGGAAGCAGGAGCTGGAATTAAAATAATTGGGGTAAAGTTCTGATTAAAGCCTCACAACTTCCATCTCGCGGTGCTCACGTCATAATCCCTGAGAGCGCAGCTGTAAAGTTACGCCAAGTGGTGTTTTCATCATGTGGCCTGAGTCGGCTGATAAGAGACTGTGCACCTCCACCAAGAGAACATAAATCTAGTGAATGCAGATATCTGCCTGCAGCACCCACAGCTCTGTGACTACAGATA